TGATTGTTTTAGACTGATGGTCCTTTCTGCATGTGTAAAGACAGTTTCTGTGAACTCCACAGCAGACTGGTTTGAAACACATCAAGAAGGTGCTATAATGAGACAGATCCTGTTGGCAGGCCTCAGACTATGTTTACATGCGCAAAATTCTTTGACCGGTCTGAAATGTTTTCAGATTAAATTTTTTGAATGTAGCGTTCACATGTGCACAATCCATTCACGATGAGCTTTTACATGCAGCGAGCGTTTATTCTGCGTTGAAGTACTGACATGTGCAGAGTGGTAATCGCTCCTTAAAAAAAACACTGAAGAAGAAGTTCTTCTTCCGGAGGAGGAATTCAAGATGACAGAGTGAGCAGTCGCAGCTTGCAGGCTCCGGTGTAAATAGTTTGTGTACAGTCCTTGAATGTAATGTCGTGTACTTTTGCTACACGCAGCGAGTTAATTGACAGCTTCTGAGAAGTCTGGTTAATTTTTTGTAGCGAAATATAAACTTTACAAGTGTCTTTTCTTGAACGGGCTAACACGTGGACGAAAAGTTAGCTACAATGGACGAACATGACTACGGCCTGGTCGCTCTTCCCAGTGTGAGTGAAGATGGAGACTGCAATAATACAGAAGTTGGAGCTGATGAACATATGTCTAAGACGGAAAAGATCAAACAGGAACACACTCCAACTAAACCTCCCAACTCTAAAAAGCAGAAGAAAGGCAACGACGACCCTCAGCATGAGTGCGACCTCAAGACTATTCTAGAAGCTGTGAATTCACTGACATCAACAGTGAGTTCCCTGATGAGAAAGGTGGATGCACAAACTGAACTTCTGCTGAAGTACGAGAGAAAGATTGAGGAGAATGATGCTACTATTAATGTGAACAAAGAGAGCATCAAGGGGCTGCAGGAAAAAGTCAGGGAGCTTGAAAAAGAAAACAAACAGCTGAAGGAGTCTGTGATGGAACAAGCTCGATACAAAAGAAGATGGAATTTGAGACAGAACGGCCTTGCGGAAAAAGAGGGGGAGGATAACAATAATAATAATAATAATAAACTTTATTTCTATAGCACCCTCCAACAACGCCTTGCATTGACCAAGGTGCTTCACAAGACAAAACAAGATTAAAAACAGGACACAATACATCAGTGCAAATTAAAAAACACAGCGAGAATAAAAGAAGGTAAAAGAGATAAAATAAAAAAATAAATAAATAGTAAATACTAAACTACTAAAAGTTAAACATTAAAAGCCCTTTTAAATAAGTATGTTTTCAGTTTGGCTTTGAACAGAACCAGATCAGAGATGGCACGCAGCTCATAGGGAAGAGTATTCCAGGCTGTTGGGCCTGCAACAGAAAAGGACCGGTCCCCCCATTGTTTGCACCTTGAGCATGGCACCACCAGCAGATTTTGACCAGCAGACCGTAAAGCTCTGCTGGGCTGGTGGACTTTCAAAAGTTCTGAAATATAAGGTGGTGCAAGGCCATTCAAAGCTTTAAAAACAAACAGCAGCAGCTTGAACTGTATCCTAAACTGAACCGGGAGCCAGTGTAAAGAAGAAAGGACAGGAGTGATATGTTCATATTTACGTGTGTTAGTCAACAGGCGAGCAGCAGAGTTTTGTACAAGCTGTAAACGGGAGCTAGACGATTGATTAATACCCACATATAAGGCGTTACAGTAATCAAGCCTAGAGCTCACAAAGGCATGGATGGCCTTCTCCAGATCACTACGGCTAAGGAGTGATTTTACTTTGGAAAGCAGACGGAGCTGAAAGAAGCTGGTTTTCACAACAGAACTGATCTGTTTATCTAGCTTTAAGTTACAGTCAAGCTCCACTCCTAGATTTTTTACCACCTGGTTGGCGTGGGGGAGCGGAAAACCCAGACTGGGAGAGATGTTGCATGAATTACTGGAAGCACCAAATAAAATCCATTCACTTTTATCGTTATTGAGGTGGAGAAAATTCTGAGACAGCCAGTGCTTAATGTCGTTTAAGCAGCTGGCAATAGAGTTGAAACCGAGTGAGGAACTGGGAGTGACCGGCAGATAGATTTGTAGATCATCTGCATACAGATGAAAAGACAGATTATGGCATGCAATGATGGGTCCTAATGGTAGCATGTAAAGTGAGAAGAGAACAGGCCCCAGAATGGATCCCTGCGGTACACCAGAGGTCAAAGAGACCGAAGAAGAGGACAGAACACCAATCATAACAGAGAAAGTTCTGTCTGTTAAATAGGACTTAAACCACTCAAGCACAACACCCTGAAGGCCAACCTGCTGAGCCAAACGAGTGATTAGGACCTGATGGTCTACAGTATCAAAAGCTGCTGAGAGGTCCAACATCACCAGCAGAACAGGTTTTTTGGCATCAAGGGACAAAAGAATATCATTCTGTACTTTGAGTAGTGCAGATTCAGTGCTATGACGGTGTCTGAAGCCAGATTGAAATTTTTCAAACAAGTTGTTGTGTTCTAAAAAAGATTGCAACTGAATGAAAACAACCTTTTCCATAACTTTGGATAAAAATGACAAGTGTGAAATTGGACTAAAATTAGAAAAAGCTGTAGGATCTAAACCCGGTTTTTTAAGAAGAGGCCTGACCACAGCATGTTTGAAAACAGACGGGACATAACCTGAACTTAGACAGCTATTAATAAATGTCAGAAGACAAGGACCAATAACATCCAAGGACTGCTTGAACATCTTAGAGGGGATGATGTCCAGGGTACAGTTTGTAGGTTTCATCTGCTGAACCACCTTAACGAGGTGAGGTAGTGAGACCAGGTGGAACTGATCAAACACAGCAGAGGTTATTGAGGGAGCACATAACTGAACAGCATTATATGTACTGACAATGTTCTGCTTGATAGAGTCTATTTTGTTCACAAAGTAATCAAGAAAACCATCACAGGTAGACTGTGTAGCAGTTTTCAGAACATTGATGGAGGGATTAATGACAGACTGAATGGTATTAAATAAAACCCTTGGCCGGTTACAACTGGTAGAAATTAAATTAGAAAGATATTGTGATTTGGCCTGCTGAACAGCTTTTTGATATTCATGAAGACAGTCTCTCAGTATGTCCTGGGACACATGAAGCCTGTCTTTCTTCCATCTGCGTTCTGCTTTCCTGCAGCGTTGTCTAAAAGTCAGAGTGGTACCATTAAGCTAGCGATCTGGTTTGATTTTTGTAGAAGTCTGTCTTAAAGGAGCAATGGAGTCCAAGATCTTTGTAGAAGTGTATTGAAAGGAGGTGATAAATTCTTCTGGATGTAGAGATGCATTCAGACTTTCAGCAGAGTATAAGTCAGTGCTTCTAAATGCAGCAGCAAACTGACCTGGAGTGGAGGGAGTGATGAAGCGGCAGCGACGTGCTGGAAGCATAGTTTTTACTGGGGGAGGAGTGGAAAATTCAAATATAATAGGAAAGTGGTCTGAAATACAAGTGTCCAAAATTTCTATAACAGATACACTAAGGCCGTGAGAGATGATTAAGTCCAAAGTGTGACCATGACTGTGTGTGGACCCTGACACAGATTGTGACAGGTTAAAATAATCCAGAAGGCTTTGAAAGTCAGCAGAAAGTTGGTTACAGGGACAGCAAACATGAATGTTAAAATCACCACATAAAAGCAAACTCAAATTTTGGCAACAGTTCAGCTAACAGTTCTGAGAATTCATTAATGAAATCCTTATTATATTTTGGTGGGCGATATAAAACACCACACAGCAGGGGATGTTCAGATTCCACCACAAACAGCTGAAGCTCAAAGCTGCTGTAGTTTTTAGGAGGCAGTGGGCAGCAGGTGAGTTTATCACTGAACACAGCAGCGAGACCGCCCCCACGGCCAGACACACGCGGTGCACTCAGGTAGGAGTAGCCAGGTGGGAGGAGCTCAGAAAATGCACTGTTGTACCCTGGTTTCAGCCAGGTCTCAGTCATCAGAAATAAATCCAAACGATGAGTAGAGATCAGATCGTTTAGCATAAAGGTTTTATTTGAGAGCGATAGGGCATTAAACAGGGCTGCACGCGCTGGTACACAGCCATTTGCGTCATCAGCTGCTCGGGCAAGCGGGCGGAGGTTCTGTTGCACGCAGCCCCCCCTCCTAGTCCCCACAGAGCGACAAGGTGGAAACTGAAAGTTGACGACAGGATTAACAGGAACGAGGCATCGATGACGATATACCAGAGAACGTCGGAGGTCGAAGACACCAAACTCCGATACCAGAGAGGAGGTCATTGGCATTTTGACTAGAGTGGTGCGCATCTCAGTGGATCAGCTTCGTGGGACAGTCGACACCGTACATCACCTGGGAAGGAAGAGTGATCCCGCCACTTCAAACAACGCTCCGCAGTCAATAATAATCCAGTTTGTGGCAAGAATGGTTCAAGACGAGGCTTGGAAGAGATCCAAAGATGCCAGGGTCTATCAGGAGAAGCGTATCCAGTTTAAAGAATATTTCTCCAAAGAGGAGAGGGAAGCTCGCAAGAAGTTGTGGCCACTGGTACGAGATGCCAGACAGCGAGGGCAGAGAGCTTTCCTGAAGGAAGGATATGCTCTGATCAACAACCGGAGAGTCGACCCTTCATAAACACTGACTGAGCTTTACACTCTGAATTTTATTCAAAGCGTTATTACTGATAAATGATCTCAATAATAGATA